TGCATGGGATAATTTCTGTTTTCTTGCATATACTTAAGCATGACCTATGGACCAGTATGTGGTCTATTTTAGAAAATGACCCGTGTGCAGCTGAGAAAAATGTGTATTCAGCTGTGTTATTGAGGATTTTTAATATGTTTTATTTGTTAGTATTTTGCATCCATGTTCATTAGGGAGATTGGCCTGTAGGTCTCTTTTTGGTTAATATTTTCCTCCAGAATTGAGTTAGAGAGAATTGCTTCATTTTCAATTTCATTAAAGAGTTTGAGAAAAGCTGACATTAAATCTGTTCTAAATTTCTTGTAGAATTCAGCTGTCAGTCTGTAGAGATCTGGGATTTTATTTGTTAGTAGTTTTTTATTAGATTTTCAATTTCTTTCATTTGTATTGAATTATTCAGAATTTTTATATCTTCTTGAATCAGCTATAGCAGTTCATATGTATCTAGGAGTCTGTCAATTTAGTCAGTATTTTTCATTCTCTGAGAGTAAAGATTTTGGAAATAAGTATTGACCTTCTGAATTTCTATATGGAATATAGTGATTTCACCCTTTTCATTCCTCATTATATGAATTTGAATTTTTTTCTTTTCTTTTTTTAATGAGGTAGTCTAGGGATTTATCAATTTTATTTATTCTTTCAAAGAATCAACTGTTTAACATATTAATTCTTTCTACTGTTTTCTTTCTCTCCATTACATTTATTTCTGCTCTGATCTTTATAATTTCCTGCCTTCATTGAGCTTTTGGCTTGACTTGCTCTTCCTTTTCTAGGAGTTTAAAGTATAGTGTAAGATTGTTAACTTGGGCCCATTCTGTTTTCCTGATGTGAAAATTTATTGCTACCAATTTTCCGCCTAAAAGAGTTTTCCCTCCTAACCTTGCATCCTACACATTCTGGTAAGTTGTATTGGCATTTTTGTTAGACTGTAAATATTGTTTAATTTGTTCTTAATTTCATCCTTGACCCATGGCTTGTTCAGGAGGGTATTATTTAATTTCCATTGTGGTTATAGAGTTTTTGCTGTTCCTTTTGTCAATAGTTAGTTGTTTCATTGTACTGTGGTCAATTCCTTTACATTTACTTAAGCATGTTCTGTATGTTAGCACATGACCTATTTTGAAGAATGTTCCATTTGAAGCTGAGAAGAATATGTATTCTGATGCTGTTGGTTGGAACACTTGTAAAGATCTACTAAGTCCTTTTGTTCACAAGTTTGGTTTAATTCTGTTATTTCTTTGCTCATCTTTTGCATGGTTCATTTATCTCTTTGTGTCAAAGGAGTGTTAAACTCTCCCAGTACAATTGTACTATTGTTCAGGAGATTTCGCATGTCTGTTAAAATTTGTATTATATAGTTGAGTGCTCCTACATTAGATATATGTTTGTTATCTTGTCCTCTTTCAGTTTTCCCTTAACAAGTATGTAGTGAGCTTCCTTAACTCTTTTAATCACACTTGGTTTGAAGTTGACTTTGTCAGCAACCAGGATAGCTACCCATATTTTTTTCTTTGTTCCTGCCACATGGAGTGTTGTTTCCCATTCTTTGACTTCAGTCTATGAATTTCTTTTAGAGTTAATTTTGTGTCTGATATATAGCATACTGTTGGCAATTGTTTCTTGATCCACTATGCCAATCTCTTTTGATTGGTAAATTCAGGGCATTTACACTGATGTTATAACATATATGTATTAGATTATCTTTGTCTTGTTATTTTCTTGCTAGAGGTTCCCTACTTTTCTCCTCTTTAATGTCTTGCTATGCTTGTGGAAACTTTCTATTGTTATTATTTTTGAATTTGTGATTGTTTCTGTCTTTTTTATGTATTTAGTTCAGGGTCAACAGGGTCTCACTACACAGATTGGACTCATAGTTATCCTCCTGGTTTCAGCCTCCCTATGCTGGAATTATAGGCATGTGCCACAGGGCCAATTTCAATTGCTATCCCAGTACACCCTAGGGGTGGGACCAGCAGGACAGAGATCAAGCCTCATTCTTGCACCTGCCAAAGCATGTGCTTTAGTCCATTGAGCTATCTGGCTGGCCCTCTCTGTCTTTATCTAGAATAGATGTCAGTACTCTTTGTAGGATTAACTTAGTGATCATGAATTTCTTCATTTCTTGTTTGTCATGTCAGGATCTTATCTCTCTTTAAATTTGATAGATAGTTTTGCAGGGTACATCAGTCTGGGTTTGAAGCTGTCTTATTTCAGGACATGCAGTACTTCACTCCAAGCTCTTCTTGACTTGATGGCTTGTGCTGAGAAATTTGCCATGATTCTGATGGACTTTTCATTATAGTTGTTATTTTTTTCCTTAATAGCTTTTTAAAAATATATTTTTTTTATTTATCTGGTGCAGGGTCTCACGACTCATCTCAGACTCAATGATTCTCCTATTTTCAGCCTCCTCGGCACTGGGTGTGCTTCCTTACAGGTGTGCACCACCACACCTGGTCTCTATGGCTGGCTCAGCACAGCTGGGGCAGGGCTGGTGCAGCATGTGATGCCAGGGATTGAATCCTTGTCCCTGTGCTTGTCTAGGCACTTAGTCTGCTGAGCTATCTCACTGACCCTCTAATAGCATTTAATATTCTGTTCTTTTGATAAATTTCTGAGACCTTGATTGCTATGTGTCTGGGTGAAAATTATTTTTATTATGCCTATTTGTAGTTATATATGCCTCTGATCTGTATGTCAGAGTCTTTTCTCATGCTTGGGAAATTTTCTGCCTCTCCTCCGAATATTCTTTTTATGTCATTTGCATTGACTCCTGATATTTTATTGACACATATCCATCTCATATTGTTTTTCTTGACATCATCTTGTAACTGTTGAATTGTTATTTGTCAGTTTTTTTTAAACTTTGTGATCTTTTCTTTAATGATCACCAGCTGTAATACTGTCTTCACAGTCTGAAAGTCCATCTTCAGTTTCCTTCAAGTAGTTTTACAAGTTTTCAACGGAATTCTTCATTTCCTGGATATCTGTTTGAACCTATTTCATGCTTTCTAATTCCTTCATAATTTTTTGCTCAATATTTCCATCATTTTTTATCCCCTTCTATTTTTTTTTAATCTATGTATTCTTTAGGTGCCCTGAGCAATTCTTTCGTGGTTGTTGTCATTTGACATGCAACATGCTAACTCTAAGCCCCATCTCCACCTACCAAGTAAAGTTGTTCTTTACTTTCTTCCTGGTTGTGTCCTTATTATAATACTTATTACTTAGGAATAGAGTCCCATGGTAGGAGGTCAGGAACAAGCATGGTAGGAACTTCTTTTAGACTTTGCCAATGCATAGTATTTCTTTTTTGCATGTGCCTAAAATTGTCATGTATTATTTTATTATATGACCCAATAAGTTATCTCTGTAATTCCATCCAGTTATAGCTCACTATCAAATGATACTTTCAACAAACACTGCAAAGACACAAAGAACCAGGTAGGTCTACTCAAATTACCTTTACATGATTTTTATTTTTATTTATTTTTTTCTCATTAAATTTTTTATTTGAGTGACTGAATTCATAAGTACCTTCTCATGCCACAAAACTCATTTATAAAGTGTTACTTAAAAATATAGAAGGCTTCATGAATTTGCTTATCATCCTTGCGCTGAGGTCATGTTAATCTTCTCTGTATCATTCAAATTTTAGTATATGTGCTGCTGAAGTGAACACTTAAAATGATTTTTAAATGCACAAAATAATGCTAGAAGTGCCTTGAATTTCATCTAAACTAGGTACAGTGTGATAACACAAAGTTATTGGAACATGCTCCCTATTCCTTTAAGAAATATTCCAGTTCCACCATAGTAAAAGAAAATTCAGATTCAAATGCCCAAGCTGTATTGAGATTTTTATTTCTGACAATTCTAGAAAAAATAATATAAGCCAAAAAGGTGGAAATGATTTTAGACTATATTTACCATATAAAAGAAATGTTCTTATAAAAATAATACCAAAAATATTCAAAAATATTTAAATTTCATCATTACAAGGGCTCAGGACACCATGGTATGTGGTGATCAAGATTCCATAGCCAGGTGTGTCATGAAAATTTGTGGATCGGGAAAAACAAATTGGAAGAGATTCAAAAGAGAAAACTCCAATTGCAAATGATGGACACAAAGTAATTTTCGAATTAACTCTCTGTTCACATACACAAGCCATGTCACCCAGAGGATCGTGTAAAATAAATCAGTCTACCAGTCCATGTGGTCTGGCAAAACAGAAAGAAAGCATTTCTCACACAGCAGTTTTCACAAGACCCCAGTTGGAATCCACATAAAATCAGCCAGCCAAATCCTGACACAGAGCCTATATCCAGTGTTAATCACTTATTTAAGATTTAGAGAAGTCCCACAACATCCTGTTCCATGTATTCTGAAGGAATGTGCATAGCGGAGGTGGAATAAATGGCAAGAAGGCAGACAATTTGATGCAATAAAAAGAGTAGCAGAGAAGAATTAGATATAGAAAGAGAGAAGCACAGAGGCAAGGGACAGAAGCAAAAGCAAAGCTTCAACTATGAGATTTCTTAAAAGAAAATAAACTTTCCAATTGAATCAAAGAGTTTGAAAATGCTTAATGTAAAATTCTATTTGCCTGTAGCAAAGAGATGACAAAGACAACAGGAGAGAGGCAAGCCTGCAAGAAAGATCTTACATTCAGTAACTTTTGACATACAACTTGAATTTTGAGAATAAAGAATCTAGTAGAAACATGCTTCAGAAGTTGAATTTGGTCATTTGGGAAATGAAGATTTCTTTTTTGTCACTGAATTCCACGATTTCTTCTAATAAGATAATGCTGGCAGATATGTGGAAGTAAGACATGAGAGTAAAGAAGTTACTGAAGAAGGCTGGTGAGGAAGCAGCTCAGACAATCTAGGCTTGAGGTAGCAACAGATGGAACAAGGGTAAGAGGAAGAGACAGAGCTAAGCATCTCTCTCAAGTATCAATGCCTTCCTCTACTCACCTTTACATTACAGGAATTTTCCTTATTGCCTCTCTTTCTAGCTAGGTTCTCAGCTGTTCTGACCAACAAAAGACACTGGAACAAGTCTAAAACCTAAGACAATAGAGGAAGTTGAGATTTTCCTATTCTCCTTCTGGCCTTAGAAGGAACTTGGCTTCCCGCTTTTGCTGAATAGTCTGCTTTGTTAAGCCAGTTTCCTGGATCACATTTTTATTTTAGATATACTGGGAATAGTATCAGTTTTCCTGAATGAACAAGAGAAGAAATGACACCAAAGAGCAAATCAATACAAAGGTGAATGTACCTAAATTAGTGAACAATGAACATGATGACAAGGGTGGCAATGAGTACTACTCTTAGATTCCAAAGTTAGTAACTCTATTTATGAAAATCAATGTCATAAATTACTCATGAAATACTAGTGTCCCGTGAGGCATTCAAATTATTTTATATGCAGTACCTCATTTAATCCTCACAATAACAATCTGGAGTGAAACTTACTCTTACACAATCTTACACATCAGAAAAACTAAAGCCTAAGGAGCTCAAGTCATTTCACTGCAATCTCATGTTTAAAATGAGAATCAATTTGCTGAACAATCTAGAAAAAGAATGGAGAAAAAGGATCAGATAATAAGTGCAGATGTGGGCCCAAGACGTGCAAGGTATTTGCTGAAGTCTAGATGCCATTAAGTTGTAACTGAAAAATAAGGCTTAGTTTAGGAGCCAGATCAATGCTGGAGATGCGGAAGTGTGACTCACTGCTCTGTAACTACATGTTGAAGCTATAGAATGTCAGGTGGATAAAGACCAAAAGAATTTAAAACTGTGGCAGTGCATATTATTGATAAATAAGGCAGATGAGCTGACACATTCTTCCTAATGCAGAGGCTATGAATAAGATGACCACAATGAGATGCTTCGCAAATGGCCCTATCATGCTTTCAGAATATAATCTCCAAATTTCCTTTCTGCCTCACTAGTTTGTCACCACTTAGCAAATTAGATGGGAAATTTCTTGGCAACCCCGACTGCATGTATTTCACCCAGTCAATCAAACAGCAAGTATCTACTGAGCTCTTGGTAAATGGCTAGTCATATATTAGGTCCTTATAGGCATTTAAGAGAAGCTCAAGATAACTTTTTCTTCCCAGACAAACTTGATGCAGAATGGTTTGATACTGACTACATCTACCCTAGGACATTAAACTCTACGTACACTGGAAGCTCATTAAATATTTATAGAACAGTTTTATAATGACAAGGTCATATCAACATTCTTACACATTTTTAAAATTGCCCATTTGTGATAATTTGTGACATTTAACAATGTCTAACATTTCCCCTATAGTCTTTAAAACTTTTTTGTTGATAAGAGGTGCAACAAGCTGACATTTGCTTGACATTTACTGAATATTCCCTCTGTTAAGACAAAAGAAGAAATCAGAAAGATTAAAAAAAAAAAAAAGGAACAAGATGGTTCTTTTTTTTTTTAAATTTTTTT